AGATTTTTGAAATCAATGCATATTGTTTTCAAGATACACACTTTCCATGATCTTTTTGAAGATCACTCGTATGGTTTCTTTCCTTTGGAATGTGCAGAGCAGGCAAATCTGTAGAGACAGAAAGTGGATTAGTGGATTGCGAGGGACTGGGATGAGGTGAGAGAAGAGTGACTGTGGGTGGGTTTGGGTTTCTTTCCAGGGAAATGAAAATATAATATTCTGCAATTAGATAATAGTGATGGATTCAGAACTCTGTGAATATACTGAAAGCTACTAATGTACAATGTAACAGGATGAATTTTATGATATATTGACTATATCTCAATAAAACTATTTTTAAAAGGTGGGAATGAAAAAAAGCGGTTCTTGGCAATGACAACAACCATTGCTTGAAATTAAGATGTGATTATATGCTTTTTTTTCTTTATTCTTTTCAAAATTCATTTATCTATTTCTTCCTTGAGAGAGAGAAAGAAAAGAGAGAGAGAGAGAGAAGCTGACACTCCAACACACCATGACTCACCTCCAGTCTCAGCCAACCCAGATCATGGGCATGCCCATGCTTAGGGAGATCCTGGGATACGAACTCAGGACCTCTCCTATGTGGTTCCTTCTATACTATGCACCACTACCTGACCCACACACTTTGTTTTAGGGCATTAAAAGAGCCTCCTAAGTGGTTAACTTGGGATTTGTAAGTAGACATCAGTAACAAACACTCTTGGGCATGGTAGGAAGTGGGTGATAAGGAAAAGGCAGATCCAGATACAAGACACTCCATGTACTCACATCTATTCATTCACAAAAAAAAAACTTACTTGCCAAGTGCAAGTAAGTTTTAGGTCTTTTATTTTTTTGGAGAGGTTTTTGCTATAGGGCGCGTGCACTCGCCAGACAGACAGAGAGAGACAGAGAGACAGAAAGTAAGAAATCACCCCCCAGGGGGGATGGCCATGTCGTAATCCCTTCTCCTCTATTCTCCTCTTGGGATCTTGGGCATGCACGCACACGCACCCGGCGTGAATTTAAGCCACCAGTTCCGGGACACGAATCGCAGTCTACTACATGGGAGTCCAGCAACATAGCCATTACGCTAACTACTGGTCCCTAGGTCTTGACTTAGTACAGTGTTAGGTCTTGACTTTTAGTGATGAATTAAACAAAGCCCTTGACCTCCTAAGGCTTCCATATCAGTGCAGGCAACAAATGATAAAGGGATAACTAAATAATGTGAAATCTAGTATTCATCAGTAAGTTAAAGTGAGAAGAAAAAGAGTAGTGCTGATGGTGCTGGTACTATTTTAGATTGGGTGGTATCGCTTGTGCCAGACACCTGAGTAAAATGAACGGATGACCCCTCAAGTGTTCTCTCCTTTGTTATTTGATACCGCTAATCTTGTCTACCTCCTCTGCATGGCAGAACATGTCTAGTCCATTGTCCATTAGCTATTTTACTTTGTGCTCTCTAATCTCTAGAATGGCAATCAGCTAAACTGACTAGCTCTTCCATTTGATGACAAAAGATCTGTGACATCCATCAAACCACCAACTTTGGTAGTGGTAGGTGATTCTTGCTAGCTTATGTCTCTATAGATCATTTGATTATAATTGAAACTTAGAGGGAGCAGGTAATGGGTAAATCAAAACTAAGATGGAAAGCCTTAAGAGCTAAAGAACAGGAGAGTGGCAACTATATAGCAACACTTTCTGGGATTACATAACTCTAAGGTAGTTTGTTTCCCAGTTTTATATTGTTCCCCTCTACTCTCTCTCAACAAAAGTAAAAAGAAAAAACTAGTTGGAATCTAACAAGAAAATAGAAACCAGCTTGAATATCTGAGGCAGAGGTCCTCTAGTAGGGAGCTAGTTACACAGTGGTGGAGAAGTGCAGAGCCAAACCATGCCATATAGGCATCTATGAGGTAGCCCAAAGGTCGCCATTGCCATCCCTCATCTGGAAGGAGGTGACATTAACCATACCTAAAGGATTGAAATCACCTGACCAAAGCTGGAATTATGGTTGGCCTGTCTGCTAGAAGGTGGAACCGTAAAGGAACTGTTACCAGAATAAACAACAAAGGTGGGGGTGAAGATTAAATGCCCTGGATTCTGTCTGTAACTTCTGCCTTCTAGTTCGTTTAGAGCTTGCCATAGCTGAAACTCAGCCAGAAGTTAGGTGATATGGCCTTAGAGCTTGCCATGGCTGAAACTCAGCCAGAAGTTAGGTGATATGGGAGTCTGGGGAAGGTAGCCTACAGGGGGACATGCTCATTGTAATATAGAGGAAGAACAGGGTAAGGTGAGAAGTAAATTGGAGGACATATAAACTCAGGGGTATTAGAGAAGCTGTAGAAGGTACTTAAATCTCTTATGCACTTACTATGAGCCGAGTACTATGCTAGAAACTCTCACAAACATATTGTCACTTAATCATTAGAAAAGTCTTACTTTTAAAGTGGGAGTACTTACCCTTCTCACCACATTCCACAGATCAGAGGATTTGTTCATGGTAAAACACTAAATTAAGTATTGTGAAGTGAGGATTCAAATTCATTGATGTAATTATTATTATTTTTATTTTAATTGTGAGAGAGAGAGAGAGAGAGAGAGAGAGAGTAAGTACTCCCTAGTGGGGTGAGGTCAGACCACAATGCTTTCTCCTCCATTTCTCCATCCTATTGAAATTTTGGACATGAATACACACATGCTTGGTGTATTTCCCAAGTCTCTGGGTCTGGGATTTGATCTGCACAATTGGTCATGTGGGATCTGGTTCCTTTAACCTCCAGGCCACAGGGATGGTCTGTATCTAATAGTAATTATTATTATTTAAAAGTTTAATTAATTTGTATAGAGAACCACCATCAGGTCTTCACACCAAGATCTACTCCTGGTCTCAGACAATTTGGGTCATGGGCATACATTTGCTCAGGAAGGTCCTGGAATACAAATTTAAGAGCTTTCCAATGTAGGCCCAGTTGTGTTACTACTGTGCCACCACTTAGCCATAATTATTAATCTTCCCTTACCACTGCATTCTTGACATCTTGGGAAACTGGGGGTGCAGTGATCTCCTTCCTTACTATTGATGTTCCTTTTTTGTTTCTTCTGTGATATCCAGGGATCATATGAATAGAACAAGTAGCATGAGTATTCTCTATTCTAAACCTAGACTACATGAAAATAAAATCTTTGACTCAGATAAAATCTCATTTCTGATATAATTATTGAGGTTACAAAAATGATAACATCGAAACATCTGTCTTGAGTAGATCTAAATATTTACTGGAAAAATGAGCACAGACATTGTCTTGAGTAGATTTAAATATTTACTGGAAAAATGAGCACAGACATCTATGCCTCCATTTTCAGAGACCAAGACTGATTGTCAGGGGTGGGAGTGTTTATTCCATGCAATGAGGTAAGAGACTAAAAGTGTGAGGGTTGGGCTTTTCCTCCCTAGATCTCAGGTGGAGTTTCTAGGTTGACAGCAAAATTCTCCTTTCATTTATAAATGGACTATGTTTGCTCTGGAAGCATCTGAGAGGATAAATATGGGATCCCACAGAAGCCACAATGTTATTTTTGCAGTGTCTTTTTCTCATTATAACTTCAGTTCCAGTCTCTTCTTTTTGCTTCTTCAACCGTTTAATTTTTTTTTTTTTTTGCAGGGGTGTTATGTTTCTTATATGTGAATACAAGCACATGTATGATTGTGAATATGCATACACACACAGAGCTAGAAGCTCTTGAGAATTGAGACTCCTGAAAACATGGAAAGGCTGACTTTCTAAATAACCTTTACCTGACACAAACATGTTCACAGCATTAGTTTTTCTGATTTTTTTTTCTCTCCTTCGGTGAGATTATCCTGGAATGTGGTTCAAATGTGGTCAAAATTTTCTTGGAAGAATGTGGGACTCTGAAGAATATACAAATTAAGTAATGACTACGTGATATTAGGTGTATATACCCTCTATTATTTTAAATGGCATTTGAAAGCAAGCATTGTTTCATTATTTATAAGAGGCATAATAATTTTACCCTGAGAGATGTCAGAAAATAATGAAGATCTGAGTAAAAATGCTTATCCTTAGCTTGAGTTTAAGGTTAAAGTCAACCTTAATAAGCAATGTTTTAGGTACCCTTTAGTAGTAGGTGGGATAATGAGCCCCCAAACGTCTCTGTGTCCTAATCCTAGAACCTCTGGATATGTTCAGATACATGGTAGGGGATAATTAATGTTGCAGATGTAATTAAGATCGATAATTGAAATGATCTTACAATAGGAACTATTATCCTAGATTGTCCAGGTGAGTCCAATGTAATCATAAGGCCCTTATATGTAGCCAAGGACTGGTCTACCAGGATGGCTTGACTGGTCACTGATGGCCTTGAAAATGCAAGGGGTCAACAAGCCAAGGAATGTGAGTATTCTCTAGAAGTTGGAAGTGGGAGGGAAACAGATTCTCTCCTAGTGCCTGCTGACAAGACACCTTGATTTTAGCTTAGTGAGACCCATGTTGGACTTCTGACCTGCCAGACTGTGTGATACAATACATTTGTGTTGATTTAAGCGACTTATATTGTGGTAATTTGTTATAACAGCCATAAAAAAACATAGGCTTACCCTGTCTAACTCAGGGTATGCCTATAGAATGCCAGCAAAAGCAACTTAAAATTCAACAGACACAAAAATGGAAAGGTATTGTGTATGGTAATATTTGTGACTTTCTTGACATGAAATGGGTTTATGCTTTGAGAACCCATATTACATGTTGTAAAAATGTACAATGATTAAATGTAAACAGAAATAAACAAATATATATATATATAAACATAAATGTGTGTGTGTGTATATATATATATATAATGTGTGTGTGTGTGTGTGTGTGTGTGTGTGTGTATAAAACATTAGTTAGGGCAAGTGACATTGGCTGCTATAACAACAACAACAACAATCTCATGACTAATATAATTAAACTTTATTACTTGCCCTGGAGAATTCAGATAGATGTTCCTGGTCTGGTCACTGTCCAGATAGTTATTCAAAGTTCAGTCTTCTTCCATTTTGCCGGTGTGACTTCTCCCAAGAACCTAACGTCCTTTCTATTAACTGTCAGGTGCAGAAGGAGAAAGATTTCATGAGTTTGAACAATTTCATTGCCAGAGTTGAGGTGAACAGACCCACTTCATTGCAATGAAAGCCATGAGATGTTGTCTAGCTGTGCTACCTTCAGGAAAAGGAAATTTGGAATTTGATTGTATATGTATCAATTTCAGCCACAACTGAGCAAGACTGTTGTTTGATAAAATACCAAACGCAGGGGTAAAAATAATTGAACAAATTCCATTGTAGAGTAGAGTAGTCAATTAGATAGTGAAAAGTATAATAGCTAAGCAGCATTAGGGTCTCCCCTGAAATACGTGCTACATTACTGAATTTCTGAAAAGTCACTCTCTGAGTCTCAAGTTTTCTCATCTTAGATACAGAAATAAAAATCTGCCTTGCCTCAAACATCTTATTTCTGTTCCAGCTTTTTCTACTTCTCAGAATTTTAATAAAAAATGAAAATATACTAAACAAATTCATTTGTTTGCACGTGCATGTCTAGATAACATGTGTTCAATTTTTTAATAACTTTCCCAATTGTGTAGTTTAGTTATAAAGACTGTTTCATTTTATTAGATTGCCTATATGAAATATTCATTTTTGTAGCTAAATATGTTCACCTACTAGCAATTACATGTAGTTTAACCTAGTACAATACAGTAGCATTTGCCTTCATTTCCATAACCCAGACATAACTTAGGTGGCTGTTTCTGATTATTCCAAGCCTTCTCTATTATTTTCTATCATAGTTTCTTGTTTATTTCCTTCCTAGTGTTCTATAATTTGTCATTTATGTTTGTTTGTTTAATGTTTCAATTTCCAGAAGACTGTAAGCTCCATAAGGGCAGATATTTTACTTAACTTATTGCTGTGTTTAACACTTAGCACAGGTTCTTTAATAAAAGGTTCAATAACTATTTGCTGAATGTGGAAACAGAATTCCTCTAAAATACGTCATGAATTAAATTGGGGTTACAGTATCATGTACCATTTAGATGTAATTGGAAATAGTTACTGTACATATTCCAGGTAGTATTTCTCAGTTATGTATCTTATTTTTTATAAAATTAATATCACTTCCACTTAATTTTGAATGCCAGCTAAAATATGCGTTTGAGTACCATGAAAAAGCAGTGCCTATACTACCGTACATGCTTTCCCTTGAATTACTTTTGGTAGTAACTGTGATCACGAATCCCATAACGAATTGATATTACTGTGAGGTTCACATTTGAAAAAGGACATGGAGACTCCTTAAGCTCTCTTTATTCAAACTCTCAGACGGTTGCAAATTTGTTCCATTTCTAACATCTTCCTAGAAGAAGATTCCACACCTGGTTTTTGAAACCATGTCCAACATATGCCATATATCCAGTATTCACTGTTGTAATTTTCTTCCTTTAAGTCTTTACACTTAGGTCTGCCTTTTTTTAGTTGTAAAGTGAAACTAGTGAATGACTTATCTTTTGAGTAAAAATTTTTCAAGACTGAAAAAAACATTAATCATCACCAATTCTCATTATCTCATGTTCACGTGGTTTTGAAATGTTTTATGTTAGTCTCTAAAAATACCCTAATCTCTAGGCAAATCTGGTAGAAAAACAGCAGCCTTGATGTTCGATGTGCATGTTAAAACATTGCTCTGACTCAAAGAATTGGAACATAATTTGCTGTTGGGGATAAGCTCTGTGTAAATACTTCCATGACTGAAATAATAGAAGAGAAAGAAGAGTATTCTTGGGCTCCAGGGAGAGAATTAGATATAATGATATCTGGTCCATTTTGCAAATTTGAACATTTCTTTTTTATTTTCCTTTCTTTATCTTTCTTTTTCTTCCTTTTTTAAAAAAATTATCTTTTTATTTGGCAGAGGGCAGATGTGCTTATGAGAAGAGACAGAGAGAGAGAGAGAGAGAGAGAGAGAGAGAGAGAGAGAGGAAGTGAGGAAGCACCCCACATGGGAAGTGGTCATACCTCAATCCTTTCTCCTCCATTCCTCCCCCATCTTGGGATTTTGGGCACACATGCACATCTACCTGGCATGTTTCTCAAGTCTCCAAGTCCAGGCTCTGAACCACACAGACAGTCAAGTGGGATTCAGCCAATTTAACCACTGGAACACAGGCTGGCCCAATAGTGTGAATATTTCTTTTTCTCTTTTTTTTTTGAGAAATTTTTGCTTTAGGGTGCATACATTTGCCAGAAAGACACCGAGAGACAGAGAGATAGAAAGTGAGAAATCACCCCCCACAGGGAATGACTATGCTGCAATTCTTTCTCTTCCATTCTCCTCTCAGGATCTTGGGCATGCCTGGACATGCGCCCAGTACGAGTTTAAGCCACCGGGTCCAGGACTTGAACCACGGTCGACGACATGGGAGTCCAGTGACATAGTCATTATGCCATCTGCTGGTCTCAATGTGAACATTTCTAAGGGTAGCAACAGGACAAAAACATGGCAGACCAGAGAAAATTGAACTTGAAAATGTTCTTGCTGATTTGACTCAGATACACAGTGAAATGCACTAAGACATTGAGTACAGTTTTTATTTACACACAACACCCACTTCTCTGTAAACTTCATTTTGCTATACTACTTACTTTTGAACTCGTGTGTTAGGTGGCTATTGCATCTGTAATGAATGCTGCTGTATGGCATTTAGATGTCAAGAAATAACTAGCCAAAATAAAGAGGATGGTGGACTCACAAGCCTTCCTCATTCATGACTCAGTAGTGCTTATGATAACATTTCCAAGAGAAGACTGCCTGCCAAACTAATTTCAGAGGAGTTGATAAATAATTTTCTCTGCTCCCAGATACTATGCCATGTAAATATGGACTATTAGGTTCAAGAATAAGAAGGGAGGGAACCAGCAGTTAGCGTAATGGCTGTGTCGCTGGACTCCCACGTAGTCGACCACAGTTCGCGTCCCGGACCCGGTGGCTTAAAGCTCACGCTGGGCGCGTGTGCGTGCGTGCCCAAGATCCTGGGAGGAGAATGGAGGAGAAGGGATTGCGGCGTGACCATCTCCCCTGGGGGGTGATTTCTCGCTTTCTGTCTCTATGTCTCTCTCTGTCTGTCTGGCGAGCGCACGCGCCCTATAGTGAAAAAAAAAAAAAACCTCTCAAAAAAAAAAAAAAAAATAAGAAGGGAAACATGGAAGTCCCCTGGGAGATACAGCAACCATAGAGGTGGTGTGTGGCACAGCCATGTAGTGTGAAGGGAGGTGGGATATAATACTGAATTCACTCACCAAGAAACAAGTTTTGTTGGGTCAGTGGTAAAGTGTAGTGGTAAAGGTTCTGGACTCCCACATGACTGACTGTAGTTAGAGTCCTGGATCCAGCATCTTGAAACTCATTCTGGATGTGTGTGTGCGCATGCTAAAAATCCCAAGACGAGAAGGGAGGAGAAGGGATTGCAGCACGGCCATCCTCCTGGGGTGCAGAGAGGTGAGTTCTCACGTTCTCTGTTTGTAAGGTGAGCGCACATGCCCTATAGCAAAAATTTCTCAAAAAAGAAAAGAAAAAGAATCAAACTTTCTTGATGAATTTTCCTGAAAACACTTTTCATCTTCCGTGACATTTTCTTAGGTAGTGTCTTGCCCACTTTATTTTAATTCATGGCTTATCTTCTCCCTTAAGTCTCTTAACTGAGAGCCCCCTCCTTATCCCTTTCCTATGACCTGATCACACTCTCACTCCTAGAAAATAAACCATTCTTTAGTACCTAGCTATAATCCAACTCTGGACCCTGTACTTCCAATTACCATTAGAATTCTCCAAAGAGATGCATTGTAATTTATTGTAAGGTTGAATGGAATTCATAGGAACGAACCAGTTTTTCATCCACAAGAAAAGAACAAACACAATGTACTGCTAACGGTATGTGCCTCAGGATAGATGCTCACATATCTTTTATAGAATCTAAATATAAGCACAAAATTTTGTTTACAAAGAATCCTCAATGTATGTTATTGATTAATATGCATTCACATAGAGTAATGTGGGCAAAACTTCATGTAATAGATTATAGGGAATAATGGCTGATATTTTTAAGTGTATTATCAAAGCTCACTGTGTTGGGTTGATAAATGACAAATAGAAAAAGCAGAATTTCTTGGCTTCTGCTTTGTTGCCATCTTCTCAGGGTCCACCCTAATTCCAGGGCAAGGGTGCTGTGCCCACACTGCTGCTTACCCTCGCAGTGACTGGCTGAGGGCTGTCTGAGGAACTTCCAGCTCCCTGCCTGTGGGGACAAAGGTCAGGAGCACTCTGGTAGCTCTCCAAAGGAAGTTTTGGTGTGAGATGTTGGTAGTAAGAGCACACAGAGGCGGGAGGTTGCAAGGGTCACACAGGAATGATAGGGAGAACACTGCCAGTATACACTACACCAAGAAACAAATTTAACATCTAATAAAGCACACTATTAATATGTCTAGTCTGTCTTTGAAAGTCCAGTGAATGTGAAAATAAACAGATGCTTCTGGGGGTGAAACTGTCACTATTAAAGACCTAACTCCCTTTACTCTTTCGAAAACACTGCAGCTGGACTGTTTTCCCAACTTTCTCAGCTATGCAGTCTGACCATTTCCCTGAGTGCCAAGGTTGGCATTAGAATGGCCAGCTGAGGAAAAGTTAGGGCAAAAGATATTGCACCATTTGGCAAGCTAAGACCAGAAGAAGCCTACTTTCTTTCGCTAGTCATAGAACACTAAATTTCTAACTGCAGCTTTGTAACAGACACTACATGGGGCATTTTGACTGCATGAGATGCCAAAGAAATTCTTAAGAAAAATTTTTTGAAACTACTTTTGTTTTAAGAAAGTTAGGAAACAGATGACATAGCAGTTATGTTGCTGGACTTCCACATGGTCCACTGCGATGTCCTGGACACGGTGGCTTGAAAATCATGTCAGGCACATATATGTGTATGCCCAAGGTCCTGGGAGGAAAGGAGGAGAAAGGATTGCAACATGGCCATCCCTCAGGGGGATGATTT